CTTGTTGACTATGATGACCGGATTTCAGCCATGTCCATTAATAATGGGGCTTCGTTGAGGGTTTTAACTTTAACTTCATGCCATCAGTGTGGTTTGTGTCTGTGAGATTCAGTAATAGACTGCTGATGCTGGGATGCTTCGACGAGCTATTAGGAGTGATTGGCGGAGTTTTGAAACCAGGAACGCGCTGGTAGAGCGCATATGAGCCGCTGCAGCGTAGTGGGGGGGGCAGCGGCTTTAGCGGAGCGTGTGCAGACGCATAACCCCGACAGTACGTGCAGGTTATGCTGTTTACATGCACGACTATATCATGTCTAACGGTGATGGGGCTTCGGTGTGTTTTAACTCTATTATATGCCATCAGTGTGGTTTGTGTCTGTAAGATTCAGTAATAGCTGACATTTGTACATTGGACGTGAAATAAGCGGAAGTTAAACGAGATGACGTTCGGTTGTGGTTGTTTTTTCAAGCTCTCAGTACAATGTCATATATTATATAGTATTGTAGCGTGCCTTAAGTTCATAAATGTATATGGCTCTGATTAATGTTACTGTTACGTAGGCCATTGTTGGGGTACCGCCCCTTCCGGGGAATGTGGGTAGTTTTCGGGGAGCACAGGAAGGGGAAGTTCTGTTCTGACTAAGTTGATGACCGGGTGTGTGAAATGGCGTGGCTGTGGCCGACAACAGACAACAATAAACCCGCGCGATAAGAACCTGGCTCTTTATTTACACGAAACGTTACAGTATCATAAAAAACCCACCAAAACACGAACATATCAGACACATACACATTATAGTGTGACAAAGGTTTATTGTCCCATACGACCTTACAGCAGAGATCTGTCACTGAATTTTAATAAAGTTCCTAAAAGTAAAGACAGTTGAGTAGAAGTTGTGATACTAGTTTGACTTTATCAAACCCCATCACTGTTGGACATGCAATGATCGTGCATGTAAACAGCATAACCTGCACGTACTGTCGGGGTTATGCGTCTGCACACGCTCCGCTAAAGCCGCTGCCCCCCCACTACGCTGCAGCGGCTCATATGCGCTCTACAAGCGCGTTCCTGGTTTCAAAACTCCGCCAATCACTCCTAATAGCTCGTCGAAGCATCCCAGCATCAGCAGTCTATTACTGAATCTCACAGACACAAACCACACTGATGGCATGAAGTTAAAGGTAAAACCCTCAACGAAGCCCCATTATTAATGGACATGGCTGAAATCCGGTCATCATAGTCGACGAGCCGAAGTTGTATTGGGGCGCTCGCTCCTTTTGCTTGACGCACGCTCCCGATCTTGAATCTAGAATCGATTGCTCTTCCTTGGGTTCCCGGATGTTGCGGTTCGAATTTTTTTGCATTGAATTTTTGCATTGATTTTTTTTGCATTGAATGTTTTTGCATTGAATTTTTGCATTGAATTTTTTGCAGTTGAATATTTTAACGTTGAAAAACATTCAGATACATGATTTCAATGCATAAATATTCAGTGCTAGAAATTCAATCACCTTTTTCTTTTAAAATCCGATGACACAGATTTACTTTTTGACAGTAAGGTGGAGACTGTGCTTTCAGGGTCCGATCGATGCCGTGAGGTGCGTCCGCTCCCGACGCCCCCTTCGCCATCCACGCCTTAAATCTTCGGCTGCTTTTAGAATAACCTATTTTCCCCATTAAGATGGTTCAGTTACTGTAGAGAAAAGGGCACCGTGTCACGGTGTGGTTCACTTCATGTTATATTTTGTAGTTTTCTGCCACTCGTGTCCCCGGGTAACTTCACTTCCTGCCTTGTCATGTCACCCCCTGTGATTGTCTAATAGTTTCCACCTGTGTCCAATCACCTGCACCTCCCTAGTGTATTTAAGCCATGTGTGTCTGTTGTCACTTGTCGCGTCATTGTCTTTCGCCACGCTTGCTCTTGTCTTTCGTCTTGGATGCCTGTAGTTTCTTGCCTGTGTGCTTTTGCCCCCGGTTCCTGCGTTTTTTTGACCTTTTTGACTATTAAAGTCTTTTGTTTCGGAGAAGTTTGCATTTGAGTCCTGCCTTCCACCCACATCCCTGACACACCGTCTCTCGCTCTTTAATCTCATGAAGTGCTGGGCAAGAACGACAGCTTTGTTTCTCCACATACCTTATGTGCCGCATCATAAATATTTTTATATTAATTTCAAACTTTTAAAAATTGTAACTGACCTCTCGCGGCCCACACTTTGGGAATCGCTGCTCTAGAGTTTTTATTGGAGCTCTCTGAGACTCCCGGCTCCCAAGCAATGTCGTGTGTGGCTCATTAATGGGTTTAGTACATGCTGTTCACGTGTGTCTTTAGTCTACTGGCTATTGCATCCTGTGTAGACTGTTTACATATTTGTACCCATATCTACATTTTTTGTTCTGTTGTTGATATTGTTGTGTCCAGTGGAATTTTTCTGCTTTATGACACAAACACACTGACTGACACTATTTCATGGTTGTCTTTTGGGGATGGCTGTTCATCTGTCCTAAATACATTTTTTTAAATGCTTTTTTGTGTTGAGTTTGTATTACTTATTATAGCTTGTACCTATTTTGAGCATTTTGTTTTGCAAGCAAAAAATGAAGCTTCCCTGACTGGTCTGTTACATTCTGCGGTAAAGACTAAAACTAATACTGAAACTAATAAAAACTAAACTAAAACTAAGCGTTTTCAAAAAATAAAAACTAAACTAAACTAGCAAACCCGCTTTAAAAACTAATTAAAACTAAACTGAAATTGAAAACAAAAAGTCAAAACTAAATAAAAATAGAAACTAGTGAAAAATTCAAAACTATAATAACCTTGGTTTGTATTAATCAGATGCGTCAAAAATAAGCTTTAGTTTTAGTCCATCCATATTATAAAGGTACATAGCAGCACGATAACGCTGTAATCCAAAGGATTATCAAGGATCTGATAAGATTCATTAAATCTTGCCATTCATCTGACCATAGAAGGAAATTCATATCAGATAGGATGAGTATTGGCAAAATATGATTTTGTTTACTTTTTTTGCTTTCTTTACTCCTAAATATATATTTTTTTCACCTGGACAACAAAATACTGCTGTTCGTCAGTAAAAACCAAAGACTTGATTGTTAATTTTAGAGTGAGAGAGAGTCTCGGCCGTACAAAACCAGCTAGATTTGACGGTCCTGAGGACAAGGATGCCGAACACACTGCCTTGGTCATCACACATCTCCATCCTAGTGGAAAGGGTTCATAAACAGCCAAATGTGCGTTTAACAAGGACACTTAAGACGACCAAATTACCATTCCAAGTAAATTTGGAGCAATAGAAAGCATCCTGATTGGAAAAAAATATGCACGGCCAAGGACGGTAAGGCTCTACAGTTGCTGATTAAATCCGCCAAAATCAAGATTGGTAGCCATCCACCAATCATCAGAGATATGTGACCTTGAAATGTGTCTAGGAAAGTTGAATAAAGACTGAAAGTACTCACGGTAAACTTCACCGTAGCTTCCTGCAGTGCTCTAAACGGGAAGTCACACACATCGCAGACACGCTTTGACCAAGCGACACACACTTATAGGCAGATGTATAATGTACAACATTTTGATAATTTACACACAGGAACACAGATGTGACTCTCATAACTGAAGGTGTGCTGGAATAAAATGCATATGTTGAATGTTACAAATACAGTATGATGTAAAAATGCATGGCACATGTAATTCAATTAACACCTCATAGTACTCACAATCACAGAAATGCAACACATCGAGCTTGATTCATGCAGGAGCAAGTCTAAATTGTGAGAAAGAATAATGTCTGAAGGACCAAGCAAGCGTCAATGAGCCAGATGTTTTCTCAATGGAATGCGTGTTGCACAGGCTATTAGGTGTTTTATTGTAAAGCCCAGGGCCTCGGCCTTGGTTTATTTTGGTTTGTCATAATTGGCAGGTTGCTTTTGGAGAGTCTGAAAAGATTATTTTCCCTTGGTACGAGGCGGTCCTTTTAGTTTTGATTTGGGAGATATTTCATTACCATCAACGGTGGGGAGGTCATTAAAATGAATGACTCACAGATGGCAAAAATAATGATGTATTGTGAATATGCTATTGTATAGAGAGTGTCCCACACATGTCAATGCATATATATACTTAATAGCCATTAATATCATATATAAACAGGTCCAATGCTGCACAATAACTATTTTTACTTTTGAAATGTAAAAATGTCATACACCCTCTGTACCTTGTAATGGGCTTTTATTTATAAAAACAAATCTATAGTTTGAAATTGCCTCTTTTACCTAAACATTTTGTATAGTATTGTATGATCTTTGTCATACACGTGCGTACTAACCCTTTAAAACAGATTCGGAATTCAATAGTACCTTTTTTTAAACCCTAATTGGAAGCCTACATTACTCCAGACGATGGAAATGTTTCCGGAGCCTGAGTACAGCCAGCCGCTGATAATGCATTCAAGAGCATCAAAAGTTCATTGGTCTCAGTAGAAGAGACCAAGCAGACCTCCGTGCCACGACAGCAGAGGCTCACAGTCTCGCTCTACCTCTAAAGAGCAATAAATGTGGACTGTATAACAAATCCTCTGGATCCCATAGTGAGCGTGTTATTTAGTTATTTATGCCCCATGGAGAAATGGCTCTCCATTCCTTCCGAGCAGCACTTATTAGTGTCACATATGGAAGATTTCTCCCCTCAGGTTGTCATGCCAATGTGAAAGTGCAGTATGAGTTTTTAAATATGTTTGACTGGAAGGGAAACAGAAGTCTGTGGAGTGTGCAGAGGAGTATATGTGTGAGAATTTCATCATATCTGTGTGTGTGTGTGTGTGTGTTCTTGTGAAGGGCATTGGTACTTGCATATTTCTGTGCCCAGAATCACAGCTTGTTTTATCACAATACAACCCGTGCGTTTGTTTCTCATGCAATTACAAGAGATGAAGTGAGTACGTCCAGAAGCTTGCAGCATGTGTTTGGATAGTGTTTGTACCTTTTATGTGGCTGAGGAGGAGCAAGCGTCCGCACGTGGTGATCCACATTCCCCACAAGGCCTTTCTGCAAGTTCCAGGGAATCTGAGCAAAAGAGAGAAAGATGATCAAGGTTCAGCAGGAGGCGATGCCCAGACATGAAAGCCCTACCGTAATGGAGATAATAGGCTCTGGATCGACGAGCGGAGGCCAGTAAATTAATGGGCCCTCCTTGACACAAAGTCCATTTGTTACGTTTTGAAGCGTTGTGACAGTTAATTACAGAGGGTTGGCTTCGGTGGACAACTCCACTTAGGCTGCCTCTGAGAAGAAAAACATTTCCTGGCGTGTTGGGAGACAGAGAGGACAGCTTAAGATGCTGCGGTTTAAGGGTGTAGGTGTGTGTTTTGTTGGAGTGTCTATGTTGCCTGTGTTCAATCTGTAGGTCCGTCTAAACAGCAACACTCTCCCTGGTTGCATTATGTTTGCTTTACCCAAATAAGCTGAATTGCTAACTTTAATTATGTGTGAAACCATTGTTCTGCAGGATGGTGCTGTGGTTTATCCAGGTTGGAAACAACATTTTTAAACTGAAATTTGGTTTTAAAAATTTGCATTGGAGGATTGTTGATGCCTTCAATCATAAATATTTTTCCCGTAACAATAAAATAAATTTGATATTGAAAACAAGTCAATGGATTTATGAATGGATTTGAGGACACATGTGTAGCCTTTAAAGGTGACATATCAGGCTCATTCTCAGGTACATACTTTATGTATTTTGGGCTGCTAGTTGAAAACTGCTTCATCCAACATTTACTGCATATTCATTTCCTTCAACATGGCAACAGCGCATGGTGCTTCCTGCCAGACAGGGTTTATTTCAACCCATGTCGTGATATTTTCCTAAACCTAACTCAGTAGATTCCTTCCCTCAAGATAAGGAGATTAACAGCAGAAAGAGCCTTCTAACGAAAAAAAAAACAAAAACAAAAAAAAGTCTCCCATGGACGGCAGCAGCTTGCAGGTAAGTGCTAACAGTGCAAAAGAACTCCGAGGCTACAGGCGGAGCGATCATTGTTACCCAGAGGATGAGCACGATGCCTACTCGATGGCGTTGTTGGTCCGGGAGGTGTTATCAGCTCCAACAGCTGGATGAGCTCCCGCCAATGGGGCAGGCTCAGATGTAGACCAACATGTACTAAAAGGGTAGCGCAGCCTGTTCCGGTATTTAAAACACACATACACACACAGAAGAATTGTAAAACATACAGAGGGAGAGTGTTCATTATTCCACTGAATCACTCCATCGCTAACAGTGGATTGCTGCTGTGTCGATACTCTGACAGTCATATAGAGATATTTACATTTCAAAAGAGCCAGCTCTGATTGGGTTGTGCAAATCGCACACCTTAAAATAGTGGTTCTCAACTGGTCTGGCTCTGGGACCCACCATCACCCCTTAATTACAAGCCGCGATGCAAATCGAGGAACATTCTCCACTTCTCAAATTTATTTAATGAAAATATGGTGCAGTTTGAACCTGAGTATGGAGACAGAATACGTATGCCAACACAAAAACAAGTTTAATGAAAAAACAAAACAGCCAGCTAGTAGCGATGCTAGAGAGGGAACTATTCCCTTTTACAGTCAATTACCAAAAAACCCTAAGTGTATCTTAAGGACACGAGGTATTACAACATACATAACAATTAAGAATCTTTAGACATTTCAAACAGTTTTCGTGCACAAACAAAAAAGTCGAAAAAGACACAAATTACCTAACTTTAACAGATCTATGACAAACACTAGGTCTTGAGGAGCAGCTTTTGCACAAATTCAAAATAAATTAAATAAACCTGGCACACGCTGCTGAAAACATGGACGGACGAGCCGGCAAGAAAAACCGACACTCCGCTGCATTAAAAAAAGTCCCTTCAAAATATAATCACAGGATGAATAAAAAAAAAAAAATGTAATTCTAATTTTTATTTTCTCAGGCAAACCCTAACCCATTAAAAACGGGTCCGCGACCCACCAGTTGAGAATCACTGCCTTAAAAGATAAAAATTCAACAGTTTCTCACCTTTGCGCTCTTAAAACTAAGCTGCTTTGTGAATAGCTTTAATCTTTACCACCATCTAATCTTTGCTGTGAGGAGAATGGGGGGGAAAGAGACATGATTCTGACAATTTTCTTGTAGTTTGGGCGTCAGTGTGTTTCATTGCCAGAATACATTAAAAAGAGAGAGCTATAGATATTTTTGTAGGTTTCCTTACAGAACAAACAGCTCTCTAAACCTCATTCTTTGATCCCCTTACTTGATGCACTTTTTGACCATCGTTGACCAGTTTATTTTGGAAACATTAGTTGGCTACTGTAACATAAGAAGGCGAGAAACTGCTATCTGTCACAATATTCACTAGTCTTACAAAATAATTGTGCGTCGTCTGGTTTCGTCTTTGGTGTTGATACTTTGGAGCACTTCATAACCATTCTGAGGAACAATTGTAATTCAAAATGTTCAAAACATTCTTTTATCTTTCAGTTTTTCTTTATGGATAAAACCGTTTTCTTTTTTTTGTAAAATATGACATGAATTATTCCTAAAACTGAAATGCAGTGTTGTCCGAAGATTGATATTCAACTCTAAGTCCACCCTACTTTTTTGTAAAGATAATATCAAAGTTGTTATTTGTACCACAGGTGAGACAGGATTTTAAAAGAATACCAATTATTTTCATTTTCTCACTGAAGGCACCAAAGAAAGTGCGTTATTGATGCCTCAGCATATAGATGACGTTATTTTGTGTGAACGTGTGCGCACGCTGGAGTTACACTTTGGCTTTTGTATTTCTTACAACTCTGACTTTCTTGCTGTTTCACAGCTTTGAAAAGCAAATTTTACATTTTCCCTTTAACACAAAAATGTTAAAGCCAAATAGTTCAAATTCTTTCATAAAGCGACACGAGCAAGATTTCAACTTTTCTCCATTTTATTTCATCCTTCTGCATCACATCAAATGCGAGAGAAGGTATCACACTTTGTTTAAAAGGCAGACAACTTATTTAGTAAAAACTCTCCCAAATGTCAAACTGAATAGAAAGACTGATTTCCCGGTTGTCACGGTGATCTTGGCAAACAAAGCCTCCGTTTGCACAGCTTGATCATATCGTGATTTCAGGAGAGCTCACGTGTTTGTTCATGTGCATGCATGTCTCTTTTCAGAGAGCCATGCATGCGTTCTGCTGCAGCAAACTGACAAATATATTGGGAGGCAAGTCATGGCTGCATGCTCAAGGACTACTACTAAATTACATTATTATTACATTACAGGTCATTTAGCAGACGCTTTTATCCAAAGCGACTTACATTACACTTTAAACCCATGGCTTTTACATTTTGCCCAGGGAGCAATTAAGGGTTAGGTGTCTCGCTCAGGGACACTTCGACTTGAGACACGGGGCAGCCGGGACTCGAACCACCCTCGCTCTACCCCCTGCGCCACGACGACCCCCATTTCCTCAGAAGATCTTTTGTGTTTATGTAACTGGTTAACACAGATATCACTTCGCTACTGGTGGGCGACAAGTTACCGTTGATTTTTAGCACGAATGCATTAAGATGTTAACAAACGCGTTGAGCACAAGTTCTCTTTGATTATGAAAGAAGTCAGTTTGACAATGCTTTTCATCACTCAATACAGCCGTGGTCGTAGCAGACACGCCTGGTGGAGATCTGCACTGCGGAGAGTGTACAAGTTACTTTTTAATTTTTTATCACTGAAATATTGAACCGTTTCAGATTCATGGACTGGCACATCTTATGCTGAGAGCGTGTGTTGCTATTCCCATTGATGTTTTCAGCAGCTGTGTGGAGGGGGAGACCCTGGAAGCTGTAAACACATGGAGATGCCTCTTAGTCCACGGTTGTGGCCAAATCAATCATTAAAAGCAAGACAATCCTGCAAACCGGGTGTCTTTCCCGAATCTCATAAAAAACGTTTTTGAAATAGCTGCTGTAGCCTCACACAAGTTCAAAACCAGGTTATATGGAACTGTTAGGTAAAATGATACGTTTACGGCCATGCCACTAGTGCACCAGCACATGAGTTAAATTTGAGTAGCGAGGACCAAGGCTGTAAACGCCAAGGACAGCTCCCAGCTTGAACCAAAAAGACTGCTTTGGAGCTTCAGCTCTCAAGTGAATGTAGAGCAGTGAGTGATTTTACAAGGAGCAGCAGTGTGTGTGCAGCAGCAGCAGCATGGAGAGCTGCTCCATGGCCTGCTGAGCCGCCCGCCGTCTCACAACACTGACTTTAAAACAGTGGCTTTTCCACAGCCTCGCTGGGTTACCCAGTGACAGGGGGTTCTTCTTTTTTAGACTCTTCCTGCTCAAGGTTTGAGCTGAAGAAAAAGGGAACAAGTGCAAGTGTGCTGACATTTACTTTGCTAACCCAGTTTCTCAGAACCAACAGCCTCACTAGGCTCTAGGCCTAGGCTATTGTTACCCTTCCATGTGTGACATTATCGGTATCGTCATTTCACAAGACTGGGACGAAAGTGATTCAAAGGGGGCTTTGCCAAAGACTTCCTTCCAGTCTTTTTTACATTAATCTGCAGTGCACCTCTAAGCCACGTGAAGGAGCTCAAATGTTCTTATTGCTCGTATAATTGTCGCCTACTTAACACTTTGAATCAAACTGACTTTTCAGGTTGAATTCAGCAATTAAATAGTGTTCCGTAACGCCTTGAATTTCCTGTATCACACATACACGTAAACACTGTACACAAGCGCAGTAATTTGTTAAATTGTTTCATGAGTCGCAGTATTTGGAACCAACTCGGCCCAACTGTATTCACCCACATGTTATCAATTTTCTTTTACAGACTTTATACCCTACACCGTAGCTCTATACCTCATGCTTTAAAATCCATAAGTTGATTTACAGCTGATGCGAGCCAGCATTGTACTGTTGTTTAACCCCCCCGCCTCCCGCCCCTCCGCATCCCCTTATGATTGGTGGTTTACAGGTTTATTGCTTAGGTTTGACATATCTTTCTGTGGGTGAGTGGCCTTATTACTGGATATGATATAAATCCTTCCTATGATTGACAGTGGATCATGACAGCGCCCGCTATAGATCTACTGTCGGAATGTGAATACAAAGCTGTATAGGAAAGAGACTGAAGAACATCATGGATGTTAGACTGTAATTGGTCGCTTTCATTTAGACAATAGACGGCCTTTAGAATTAAAATGTTCACAAATATGTCCCATATTGGTTTGTGGACGAGGGTTTTGAAGCATTGAGATAGATGGTCTTTTGTCAACATCTTAGATTTCAAGCGTTGGCACCTTTTTGCTTTTATGCAACCAGAAGTTGCACTAGTGGGGGGAGCCAAGTATGGCCAAATGTTGTACAATTTTTACCCCTCAAAGAGGTTACAACACATTTTCAGAAATTGGAAACACACTTTGACAG